GCTTTATCTTCTTCTTGTTTCTCCACCGATACAAGGTGAAGAGGTGTAAGAGTAATACAATAGAAGATCCCGAAGATAACTGAGACATCGTGATTAACCCTGGAGCCGACGAACCACGATCGGAAGGCCGCGACTGCTGACCCCGAGCAGCCGGACGGACGCCGCGACTATGTCGGAGCAGCCAGCCGAGGCAAATCACTACCGCGAAAGCCCCGCCGACAACCCCGCGTGACAAGCCCGACAACCAGATCGCCCCGACCCACACAACCCGATCACGAGGATCCGATCTAGCTTCTGTTCGATCCGTTCGTGTGTTGTTCCCTGTTAACCCAAATCTGCCAGATTCATAAAATTTTAAGCCATAAGTTTCATACGTCAATCATTTAAGTCCGCTGTGCATAGGTTTACGTTTAGTATTGAATTCGTAACTTGTACATAACAAGATCCTCATAGATCCCAACATATCATTCGACCAACATAACTACATGTCGAGTTTCTATCCAACCATCCAAGTGTCCTAGTATATAATGTTGGCAACACCACTTGCTGCAACGTTCTAGTCGACCTGATTGTCTATTTGACCTGTAGCTCCCTTCGACCAACTGGTTCACCCATCCTGGTTAGCTAGTTTCTCAAGTCTACTCAACCCAGTATGGTATCACATACTACAAACTAATTATATTAATATAATAACAATTAAATATGATCTAAGCTAACTCAAATTTGGATGATAGTTATTACCAACTAATAAACTAATTTAAGAATGAAAACTTGTTATAAAGTATGAATAAAAAAAAATATGTAATTACTTATTAAGATAAAATGAAAAGAAAAACTTATTCGACTTCTTCAATCTCTTGTCTTGTCTTGTGCTTGTTCATAGCCTCTAAAGGTGTCCTGAATTTTATAAAAGTAGTGTTGTAATCTAACTGAACGAACTGAACTTGGGCTGTTCGAGCTCGTATTTGTATACATTCGAATAGTGTTTCTATTCGTTCTTAATTATTCGAGCAAAAAATTATGTTCGAGCCCGTTCGTTTAATTGATCGTCAATGTTCAAGTTCGTTCGTGTTCAAATAATTTAGGACATGAACTTTTTAAATATGTTTGATTAACTCAAAATTTGTTCTTTCCAACTCGAATATATATATATATATATATTTATTAAAAATATTAGCTAAACATATGAAAAATTATGAAATATTTTTTCATGTGATTCTTTGGAGAGTTGAAAAATTACTATCTATTAATAATAACTCATTTAGCATATTATGGTATTTAGAAAAAATATTATAATATAGACTTGTGAGTATTAGAAGTATGAGTATCTTGAAAAAAAATATACTTGATATTTTATGAAATATTTAGAATTATATATTTTTTTCAATAAAAATGTTTCAATTAAAATTACTACTAGTTATATTTTTGGAAGACCTTCCATTAAGAAAGTAAATAATAAAAAATGAAATTGAAAGGAACCAAAAAAGAGGCGGCCAATTTTTTCACCCGGAGCGCCAAAACCAAATGTTTTCTGTAAAGTGAATCCACACAAAGGGGGCCATTTTCATTGAAGCACCAAACAAACAAGGACGATCTGCTGGAGAAAAAACGAGTCCATAGTTGATCTTAGATGGTGACCTTGGGCTTTACTGAGACGGAGTCCGCAAATTCATGGAAGGTGCTAATGATAAGTTATAGATTTGCTCTGAAAATCGTCTTAGGAAAACTACTCTTTCCTACGACGGCCATAAAATTGAAGGTCATTTATCTCTACCCTTTTGAAACTTCTTGTCCTCTAAGTTGATTGAATTTACAGATTTGGTTATCTACAAAGTCTAATCTTAATTTTCTTTTTTAGGGTTTCTTTTAATGGTAATTTTGAATCAGAATTTATGTTATTTTTCATTCATTTTTTATTTATTATATATGTTGTTCTAGTAATTAGTTGTCTAAACTTGCTTGAAAATGTTGACGATTCATTTTTTTTTTTTTTTTTTCACTTTCCAATTTTCAGATTGACTGCGTCTATGGTTCCAGCAAATCTATTATTTCGACTGCATTTTTTTCAGTCCTCTTTGTTATCTGTTATGTGGATGTGCTGAAGAAGGAAAAATGAGGTAAAAATACGAGCATTTGTCTATTGTTTAACTTGCAAGATGTAGCGATTGTGTTGAACAAAATCTGGAGGAGTTATTTATGGTCTTATGTTAATTTTTCATTTTTCAGCTCAATGTTTAAGCCTGTTCCAGTTACATTTCAATGTTTTTGGTGAGATCCTGTACTTGTTTTATCTGCTATTGTGAGATTAATACTAATTAGGAGAATTTATTTAAGATTGTTAATCTCTGTTGTATAAGGATGCATAGGTGAAGGGTAAACGAAATCAAATGGCCCTGTTGTAAAGGTACAGATTATTGTTAGCTATTTGATTATCCTGATGTATTTCTGGTTACAAAATATTAAGTGCGAGTTAATTATGAGATTATAGCTTTGGTTCAAATCTTGAGTACTAGTTGGGATGTTTCGGGTTGCAGGGCAGGCGTTTATGGTCAAGTCGCATCTTATCTAGTTTGGAGATATATTTGTGCATCCTCTCATTAAGAGTTTCATTGCCTGGTAATATTAGCTAGATGTTTAGAAGTTGTCCTGTATACTTTTTTCACTGATGAATAATTGTTAATAGTATAATAATTTTGCATGGTTACACATACTAGATTCTGTTGAAACTAATTTCTTATGGTGCACATTTTTCTGAATTCTACTAGAATTTAGTACTAGAAGATGGCAATCTGATCTTAACTCTGAATCAACCAAACCTACACATCTAGGAAGCTGCTAATGCGAATCAACTGAACCATTTCCTTCAGGTTTCTTGATTGTTTCTTTTTCTTTTTGTTAATTTATCTTGTAGATTATGGGTAAGACACTGATGGGAAAGTTATGCTAATATTTCGCTTCATTTCTAAGCCCTAAAAGCAATGGTCCTGGACGACTCATTGATCTGCAGGTACTAAATAATAGGTAATGTTTTTTTTTTTCTTAAAGAACGCATGCTATGTATCATTTATTTTTTCTTCTTTTAGGTTGGGGTGCGGGAGGTAGACAGTACTTTTTGTTTGTATTTTTAAATAATGCGTAATATTCTGGTTTCTGATTTTGTGCAATGGTCTGTTAGAAGGTATACTTATACCATTAACCTTTTATTTTTATACTTTAGTGTTATATTTTTTGTTCTTGCTAAAGCTATAAGTTTTATAAACAGTTGTAATGTCATCTTCCATGTTATATATATCCTAGTTTTGAAGGTGTCAAGACAATTAATCAACTTCAAGCAAAAGTTGGGACTTGGAATAGTGTGGAAGAAGAATAAGCAGAAGGGTGATGATGTCAAGTATGAAAATTTAAATGTATAGTTGTATTGTGCTTCATTTTAGCTACTTGGTATGTTTTTTTTTTTTTTTTTGTAAGTTCTTATGTTTAGAAAAACAAATATTTATTTGTTCCTGTTGAAGATGTAATAATTTTGTCGAATCAATTAGATCAGTAAATTAAATATTACAGCATTATTTTATTATGTCACTTTCATTTGAGTTGGATCATAAAATTATTGCATAAATTTTATTGCTTTAATCACTGTTGGAACAAATATATATGACTCCAAATGTCTATATCAACCCAAGAATTGCAACAATTTTACGTTTCAATTAACCTGATCAATAGGCACAACAATATTGACACAACATTGATTGTGGTTTATTAGTAAAAATCATGGAACCACTAGACATGAAATAGACACGACAAGAGTCGTGCCTATTACTTTTACATTTATAGCAACGACTTAAGCATGCCAATAGATCTATAGACACACGTCTATTGGCACGACATTTTTGTAACGACATTTCATTGCAATATGTTAATAGACATGATTCTGATAGTTATAGGCACAATATTCAGTTGTTCCTACTAAGGATGTTTGTTGTAGTGATCTAACGGTTACAAATCCCGACAAAATGATTTCATAACGAGACCGTAGCATCTCTCCTGTATATATTGTACAATATTTAAAAGAGTCAGAAAATCAGAGCAGCTGCCATATGATTGCCTTCATGAGTTGGTTGCATTAATAATTCTCTGAACCCATTAAATGAATTTTGTTCAAAATCAGTTGTCACAAAGTAACAAATTTTTTCGTAGTTCAAAGTTAAATTCTTTTTTATGATTAATTAATTTATGCTTCAATAGACTTCCATTAAAACTACACTACCAAAATATTAATCACTTTATACTAACTTCATTGAATGCATGTATTTGATATTGAAACACTAATTTTTTGTTAAAACTGAAAATGAGTGATCTTTGATGGCTATCTCAAAAAACACGTGTAAATGCCAAAGATGTAACATAGTAATTAATTGTTTTTTTATTTTATTGGAAACAGAGTTTTTTAGGCTATATTTAATAAAACTAGTTGATAACTGATAAACTACCTTACAGCTCATCAATAATTTTCGAGCTTATAGCTTATAACTTATGATTTATAGCTGAAAAATCAGCTTATAGGATAAAAGTTTTTAGTAAAATTAGCTGATAAGCTAACTGAAATAAAAGAGTTTATCTAAAAAGCTACCTAAACAAGCTTATGATATAAGCTACCTAAACTCGTCCGACCAAATGAAGCTTATTTATATACAGAAAGCTTATAAACTAACCAAATAAGCTATAAACTAGCTTATTTGTCTACCAAACATAACCTTAAAAGCACAAAAGCCATCATTACAATGGAAAGAACCCAACAAAAAAGATCAAGAGAACAAACAAAAGTCCTGCTAGAATAAAACCAAAAAATACACACATATATACACACACACACAAGATTTAATAGATTTTGCAATATTAATACCAATAATTTAAAAGAAAATAATAATAATAATAATCATGTGTACATACACTTAAGGGTTGAAAATGAGATTCCCACATTTGCATTTCCAGCTCAAGGGCTTCTAATTGCTATTATCATCACTGGAGCTCGAGTTTTCGATTTGGGCCTTAATACGTGGGTTTGTGGTGGGCACTTGAACAGCCCCACAGGGCCTGCTGCAAGGCCCGCATATCCGTTCGCAACGAGGTGGGCTCGACCCGATTCGAACCCGCCACGCCCTGTTCTCTACTTCCACTGTCTACCCAATTAAAAGAGATAATCTTATAGGAAAATAATAAATTCGAGAAAATTAAACACAAACATACTATAGAAGCATTCAACAACAACTCTTACCCTTGAACTTGCATTCCCCTCTTGTAATTTTCTGCCTGAAAATAAAAATAAATAAATAAATAAATAAATAAAATTAAAAATAAATAAAAATGAACCTTTTAATTATTTGTGTGAATTAGTTAAAGAGAAGTTTGATTGGTTAACTAATACCTTCGACATGGAATATTGATGTGACGTGCGAGAATGACGAGGAAATCAGAAGAATGAGTAGAGAAATTGTGAAGCAGCCCATCTCTCAATGGTTGTGAGTATTTTTTAGGACTCTTAGAAAAAATTATAATTTTGGGAGTGGAAAGTTGTGCTTGCAAATTGCAATTATAAGTAGAAAAGGAAGTGTGTCTTTGAAGTTGGTTTTTTGTTTTTTTTTGGGATCCAAATGTACCTTTACCTTTGTCTACTTTTATTTATACTTTCACAGTGGGAGGTAAAAGTAATAATAATAAATGACGACAAGGGATGTGTAGAGTAAATTTTCACTGCCCTGAGAATTTTAGCCGCGCGCCTAATTTACATGTAAGTGTTTAAAAGTATGTATTCTAATTTCTAAAGGGATAGGGATTGAATGCTTACATCTCTATTGTTACTTTTGACATCACAAAGAGTCATTGCATCTACTCTTTTTTAAAGATGTGTTGTGTTGACGTGCGAATGTTTAATCGTTAGGTCTGTCTGTCAACAACTTTACTGATATGTTTAAATTTTTTTATTATACTGTATTTTATTATTCATATGAAAATTTATTAAAAATAGAAACACGTGTTAGAGTATCTATAGCAATTATGTTAACTCATTTTTTTTTTTTTTT